GAGTGCTATGACTGCCCAGTCAGCCCAGTCGGCTATAACAATTTTAGAAACTCTTCAGGTTTTTCCTCTTCTTTGTAGAAGTGCAAATAAAATACCATAACCTGCCGACTGAAAGATTTTTCAATGAAATGATAGATTTGAGAGGAAAATAATGAATACAGATAAAATACTTTCCAACTTTTCTTTACTGCTTATCACTTTTTTTACGGCAGAGTATCATGCGAAATCTGAACAGAAGGATGTAGAGATATGCGCAAAACCCAGAATCACAGTTGAGCTTCGAACGCACGATTACCCTTTCCAAGAGCTCACATGATATCCACCACACCAACCAAGGCCCTTGCTTTGCCTTTCTCTCCGCCATGTTTTTACTTGGACGTTGCCATCAGCAATCACCCCTCAATGGAATTGATCTCGGGAGCACAAATCGCACGAGCAAATGTGAGATAAAATAGTTCCGATAGGAGCCAAAGAATTTTATGACTTAAAATTGCTTAGGTTATTTTTAGTCAAAGAATATTGAATAAAGGTTGTTAAATGAGTGAATAAAAGGATATCGAATATGTGGGTAAATAACAAGATAAATTATGAAGTGAATATATAGTGCAAAAAATGAAGGAATCACATTTCGAAATTCCTTCATTTACCAGTGACGAACGACTTTTAGGATATTTAAATGTAGAACGCGATTTCAGATTACGACCATCACGTTGGCACTGTCCAGGATTGTGAAGGCAACCGCGTCGCATCTTCTAAATGCAAACAGCTGGGGCAACGTGTTTAGGCCAGTGGTTGGTTGCCTGGCGGTGATGATCGAGACGAACCTGTTCTGCCGCAATCAACATAGCCATCGTCGACTTTCAGTACAAGAAAATGTCTTAGCACATGGTCAGCAAAAGAACAACTGCATAGGTGGCGCAATTTGGCCTACCAATTGTGGATGGATCTCCATCTCTATCAACTAATTGTTCGGATCAGATCAAAGAAATTCCGGCCGATCAAGAAGATTTGGAGAATCTCCCATAAAAGATGTGTTTCGAAAACAAAGCATCAACCGATAGGTATGTGCGTCTCCCTCGACATCTTCATCATTCAGCGCCTTGTGCGAAGTTTTTATGAACGGTGAAAACGTCTACCAAGTATAAAAACGTCTGTGGAGATGTAATCCAACAATTTGACCGCAGTCTGGTATATCAAAGAGTATATACGTATATACATATGTTATTTATTTATCTATATATCCTCCTTTAAAGTTTGTTGTGTAAACCCTGGAACTCCAGCCAATCATTTCGTTATCTTGCACTCGTCACCCTCAAAGGTACTCGGACTTGTGCATGAGTACGGCTCGTAAATGAGGACTTTGTCTTACTCATGAGTGCCGATAAATCAGTTGAGTGGATTTCCACTAGAATATTGGAATAGCCGTGCTATGGCGGTCTCGGTATTCAGTTGTCGGATCCTTTGGTGGATTGGAAGGAGGAAGGAGTCATAGGCAAGTCTCTTACCTATTTTTCGACTTCACAAGCGATTAGTTGACAACATGCAAGTTGGAAGCAACCAACATGAGTGCATTACAGGGATTGTTTAGCACATTTGTTTGAGGCGCCCTGCAATATGCACATGGTTGTTGACTCGCCCTAAGACATAGTCATCGCCAAGCCCTTCATCTCTTCGGGGTCGCTGCATTAGTACCAGACTAGTCTGGAAGGTCGAACACACTAAATTGATGGAACGACAAATCAAAGTCCAAACAATGCATACAATAACCCCCAGCATGCTTAGTAGAGTTCAATGTATGGTGCATCCTCAAAGGACTGATCAACGGCAAACGCTTTATTCTAAATGTATCCTTTCTTTGATGAGCTTACACGAGCTTGATAACGGTGTTTATTTTCGGCTAACGTTTCGACGTCTTCGTCTTCCTCAGAGCCGATGATCCGAGTCGATGGTCCTCTCTTGTTATTCGTCTCGACGTGGCAGCTTCGCCTTCGTGTCGAATCAGGTCTTCTTCAGTGAGCCATCTCCTCGTGTAAGCTCATCAAAGAAAGAATACATATTGATTAGTGATACTGAGGTTCAAGGAGAGTCGGTTTTGAAATATTACTACGCTTTATTCTATATTTCCTTAATAGTGTAAATACCTGCAAAATAGAAATTGGTGAACTAAAAACGGTACCCGTACTTTGAGAAAATATCGATTTTCCAGAACGGAGAAATACAATCACCATCTTGCTGACTGTCATATAGCATTTCCGTTGAACTTTGATGTAACCTTTCGTCCTTTTCGCGGTAATTAATAACGGATTGCGCAATTGTTGGATTATAAAAAAAACTCACTAAACAAGTTCTTTTCGTACCTAGCGCTCTAGAAATTTGAGTTATGGAAAATCAATGAGTAGGAATTTATTAACTTCATCTGTTCCTTATTTGTTGAAAGCAGTCCTGAACTACCTCTGTGCCTGTGCTTTATGCTTCTTTGCCCGTGTGTACAAGCTTTTGACTGCATCGATATACACGTTACAACCTGTGTACGTTTGTACCCAATCATGTCCCATTTACACATGAACGAATATATCTACACAAGTGCGGATTACTTAACAGATGATATGGAGTATAGCAGGGGAACGTATTCGAACTAACGGTAACATATGTACTGCATTACTTATCCACCACTGCTTTCCACGCGCTTTATTTAATTAACACATCTTTGAAAAGAAATCTAACAAGATGTTTGATTGGAAGGCGAAGAACGAACTCTACCAGACTCTCTTCACAGCAAGTAAGACATGGAGATTTGGATCTTCATAAAAGACCAAACTGCACCAATGCTTTGCAGGTTTATGAAATTAGGAAACCAGAGAATTAAGGAACAACCTTAATTCCTATGTTTAGCTTACCTTCGTCGCTCACAGTGGCTAACGCTACTACAAATCATTGCTCACTGAGAAACGAAAACATGGACCGTCGGTCAACGGAACCTCTTCTTGAACAGAATATCTCGTTCAGCGCAGACCGTTGCTTGTGGTCGGTAGCAGGTATATAGTATCAATACGCAAAGTTTACCTAAGCAGAAAGAATTAGCACTGAAAATAGGGTGAAATAGCTTCCGTGATGGTGACTGAGGTGAGAAAGAACTGGCATACCATGTAAATACCGTGAAATTAAAAATGGTTACTAGGAAAAGTAGCTTAAGAGCAATGATATTCGAAGGACGACTTGGGATGAAATGGCAATGCAGTGGAATCTTGTGGTGGGTGGGCCATCTACAATGTACGGCAGAATTCTTCGTTATCAAGGATACCTTAACACACGCGCAACTTTTCTGGAACTACGCCTAATTTCTTGCAGCGCGCGGTGTTCTCCCAGAAATTCTTTCAGAAGATTTTGTAATTTGTCAAATGAACGGCCTTTCACATACCACGTAACGCAAAAAAAGTTGTTCGATAAGTTATCTACTAGATATAAAAACATGGCAAATTGTTCTGAGTGGAATAAATAGACGGGAAGAATCACTTGTATCATCTGTCTTTCCATTGCTTCGGCGAGACCCAATGAAGTAATCATTCGTTCCTGCAGGGTGCAAACATAGCCAATTCAGCAAGTTTTATTCGCGCTATTGAACCGCTGAGCACTACATTTTCCTTCTAGGTCCTTCCCATGGATTTCTGACCGCTGTATCGGCGGCCCTGACACCTCGTGTCTACCCCGCCGGTTGTGACATGGGTGCATCATGTGTTCGGCTTATGTGATTTTCAGTAACTCGAAATGTAAATCGTGTTGCTTGATCTCTGTTCGCTAAGACGGTTAACTCTTCCGGTCCTATTGCTCATTTGGGTGATAAGAGATTATCCCAGCACCCCATCTCGACTGTACGTTCCATAGCTCTACGTGGTCGTTTATCCAATTTAAGTATTGTCGAGAATTCCAACACGTAAAGCAGGAAAAATCGTAGATTGAAAGACGTGAGCACGGATTCAGACGATTTTTGTTTTTCTAACTACATCTTCGGTGATTTTGAAAGCTCCTTAAGTTCAATAGTATTCAGCTCTGGAGCTAAGTTGGCCATTATGTATGTTGGCTTCTTGAGCCAGGTTGACGTAGCTGTAGAATTCCATGACAATCTTTCCGTTGAGCGTGAATGAGGCATAAGGGACAAATCACTTTTTCACTAACATCGTCTTCTAAGCCGTCAATGTGGAAAAACTCTATGGCTTCACTCTCAACGTGACTACTTCATGACGTGAGGCGTATTGTACTCAATGAGTTTTTGATTAGGTTCTATGCTTCCGTCCCTTCGATTCCAAAGTTCTGCTTGTTTAAGAAATTCTCATCACGCTGCTTAAATACAGCAGGGTTTTAGCAATTAGGTTGGTTATTATCTCTTGCGAAATTTGTGCATTTGTAACTGCGCTGTTTCGATGTTCGGTTTATGTTCCTCAACCATAGAGGAAGTTCAGAAAAGTCGTCTTCTCCGTCCTCTATTCTTTTCCGTCATTCTGGTGTTTATATCGCATCCTCGTTTTCAAATGCTTCGTACATCAATGGTGACCATTCCTGGTTTTCTTCGAATTTGAATCGAATTCTACGAACTTCTTGATTTTTGGTTCATTGCACTAGCAGAAATCTTCTAATAATTGCTTATTCTTATTGTATTGCAATACACTGTTTTCACTTTCAACGTTGGAAATCGCTCTTTCTTCCGCACTTTTGGGAATCATTTCTTAGACATTTGACATGGGTTCGCAGTTGGAATGAAGTACGAAGCTGTCTTACATTTCTTCTTGTTGAGAAATTACGGTGTTAGCTCGCATCGACGCAGTGTATCTCGTTTTTTCTGCATTTGTTAGCTACTTAGTAGCATCTTAATGCTTTCCATTCTGATCACTATTTTTTGGATTTAATTGGTCACTGCATATACGTCGTTAGGCGTGGTTGAGCGTCCTTGAGTTCGTTGAGTTGACCAATGAACTAAAAGGATCCGCTCGCAGCCTAACGACGGTCTAATGCACCAAGTGTTTGGTTGGTTGATGTGGTAGCTGCTTCTCTCCTTTGTCGGTTTGCCACAGCTCGTAACCTCAAACTTGGAAAATTAATCCGTTCGTAACAATAGTAATCCGCAACGATGGTAACCATTAGAAAAACATAAGCGACAATATAGCAATGAAGTCAGTAAGTGGGGGTGACGCAGTTCGTAAAAGGATGTCTAGGGCGAGAGAGTACCTTTGTCATAGGCTGGTGAAGTAATGTGATGTGCATGTGTGTGGTGGAGTACATTAATAACACTACATGAGGTTAACGTATAGCAGTGACCACGTGCGGGTATAGTTGACAATTAGGACTTTCGAGTTGGAATGAAACATTAGGATAGATGTGCTTATTGGATGATATTAGTATTAAATGTAAATTGAGTGAGATAGATAATGATATAAACGGAGCAACCAATATGTAAGCAAATTACGCAACTTTACCAATGTTTGAATGTCGAGGAGAAGGTTGAAGCCCGACTCATCGGGCGATGCTTTTGTGTCCGGTGGCACTTCTCATGGTCATGGAGAAGTACTAATGTAGTACAAGCACGCAAACCATGAGTCACATAATTAAAAATGCTAATGCCGACATAATCATCTGCATCGTCTGTTGTCCGACCGGTGGTCGAGTGTCGCCAGCGTGGGCCAGTAAATCTTCCACTTTTGCCTGTCGCGTGCAAGAGTGGCCTAGTAGGTCCTATTCGATATAGGGACTCGAAGAGCATCACGTTGTTCTTCTTCGATTGTCGAGAATAATTCTGTTTATCGAGTCGATAGTCTTGCTGCAGTGTGTTTCACAATAAGGAGAATCGAGTCACCAACGGCTTTTGTCCATCGAGTGCCAACCATGCGCATTATGTGACCCATTATCTTCGACAGTTTGGTGTACAACGTCGTCGTTGATTTTTGATCGTTGACGTATTTCGAAGCTACGGGTCACTTCGGCCAATTGAGTGATACGAGATACTCCATGCATCGTCTCTTGAATAGGTGTTCTGTAACGCTGAGTAGTATTTCGTCCTAGACATGTTTTTACAAGGTTTTTGATGCGTACGTTAAGGCGGGAAGGATTGTAAAATCGAAAGCATGGGTACGAAGTTGAGTGTTCTTTATTCTCCATATGACATCGTCGATGCTCTTGAAAGCTCATCGAGCTGCTTGCTTCCTTCTGCCAAACCTTAGCAGCGCCGATCTTATGTGAGGCACACGAGACTGATCTGTTTCCCGTGAACATCTTTTTTGTGAGATGTTGTCGAAGACCAGTCTTTCTGCTAGTGTTATACAAATTGGCTAGCATTCGTTCCATCTGGCTAATGCTTGACGCTATAAGAACGGTGCCATCAGTAAAACGAAGCCTGTGTAATTGCCGATCATTGATTTTCGCTCCCGTGCTGTCCCATTCTAATGATCGTATCAAGTTCTCGAGGGTAGCGGTAAATATTTTTGGCGAGATGGTATCGTCTTGCCTAACTACACTTGTGACGTCGATGTTAATATAGAAAAGATAGCTGATGCTCCTAACTGCATTCCATACAGTTCTCATTCACTTTATTGAAGGCTTTTAGCACATGTGGCATACAAACCGCAAACACGGGAACAGACGCACGCACGCATGCATAAGTTCGTCCTCGCAGTCACAGAAGCTACGTGCCTAACCAACGTGGAAAGAACAATGAGTTCATCTCCTGAGCACCTGCCTGTCAAGAAACTACAAGGTCGCTTTTGGTCTGCCATTAACCCCCTATCCGCCATTTGGGAACGCATCGCGTTGCCTTGCGACTAACTGGAAAAAGATCTCTCTACCAGGGAGATTCCTGCCCTGATAAAGATAGTACAAAGGAACGCTTTCCGTGATTTGCAAATTATTGTTATTCGACGTCTTAAAAGCTCACTTGGTCATGTGGTATTTACTGAAGCGAAGAAAGGACAGTTATGAGTGTTTTCCTCAGACTAGTTCTAATATGTTGAATTGCCTGCTATGTTTGAATGATCCCAGCTATAGAGGCTACTCTCTACCTCATATAGAATAGTCTCTATTTTATTATTAAGCTCGCATACATAATTGCTTGGTACGAAGACTGCGTGCGTGCTTACACTGATAATATTTAACGATTGGATAAAGCAGCATCGCTTACTGGCTCCACCCCACATCAGTCACCATTCACTTGGTTACTCACGCACTATAGCATTTCCATTTCCCTTTAGATGGCGTATAAAGAGCGCCATTCCCGTTCTTCATCACTTTGTTCTCCAGCTTGATCTTCTCCGCTCACAAATCCTTCCATTTGCTCAGGCTAGAATAGTGCTTACTGAAGTCTCACGCTCTTGCGCTATCGACACTGAAGCTATTATCAACCGTGAATTTAAGGATGAAAGGATAAAGCTCTCAGCGTTGACACTGTGTTACACGTCACAATAAACATATTCAAATATTAATAAAATTTTCACTCCTGCGTTCATTCGTTTGTTTACCGTTATAATGTCGTGTAGCTAAGATAAACTTTGAACGCCAAAATTCAAAGTATTCATAATTTGTCTTTGAACTTGTGGACCAATACCAGGATCCACCGCAGTCCTGGTATCAAATGAGTCTCATGGTGGCAAATCTCTCTATGATCCACAAGGGTTGCGACTGCCTGTGGTGGTGAAGACCTGTGGCAGAGTTTGGCCAGGCCGACTTCGGGATTCGAGAGAACCACAATGGCTCAACCAGCAAATCTCCGAAAAGTGAAGATTATGCCGGGGCCGCACAACCAATGAGGACGGGCTATTCAAGTATCAAGTAAGTATTTGTTGACCAAAACCATGACAACGCTGGAAGGGTAGGTAGAAGTTTGAAGAAATGACAATGGAAATTGGATAGCAGGGAAAATTCAGCACGTTGGTAATAACGGCTCAAAAGTGGTGAGATTTAGAATTACTAGTTGAACACTTTCAATATACAGTGAAATGGTGCAGCTGGCGGTGGGAAAAACAAGTTTTGTACGACGACTTATTTCATTAGCCCTATTGTTGATGAAGCCAATTATATCTCTTTATTTTCGAAGGTAAAGAAAGCTTCGAGAAGATTTCGAACTACGGCTGCTAATAAGCATAAGAGTGAAAGAATATGAAGCAACAATTCTATTGTGAAATGATCTCTTATGGAAAACTCGACAGCATTTTGAGTAAGTGGTCTGATTGAAATTCAAAGCTTGTTCCCGTGTGAAGAACTTCTCACACGCCGAGGGTCTTCGAGCTGAATAGCCATTTATCTCTAGGTCTCTTCTCTTTGTAGAAAGGAACTAACGCGTAGTAACCTCGCTCTGGAATATGATGCTATCACGGTCTTTCACAAGAGAACTCGCATTAGTAAATAAGTAACAAAACACCATTGAAAAAATTGACGTGAGATTTACCATATCGACGTGATACTGCAGCAACTGTATCCGAGAAATACGATGGGACGTCCACAATATCACTGCTACGTAGATAGCTTTTTGCCAACTTCGAACGCTGAAACAAACAACACTATTGCGTCACGGTGATGTCCGGATAAATTTTAATATTGGTGACAAAAAATCTTCACAGCTTCATTTGTGGAAAAGGGAATGGGGACCATCCGTTCTATGTGGTAACGTGAGCGAACATGGTATACACAGGATATTGGAGTGGCTGTCTTCAAGCCTTATAATGAAATTCAATAATATTCGTAATTTGATCTGGATTACAGAAACAGGATTAGCATTGAAGTAGCAGATGACAGGCGTCGGTTTATACGGCAATCACTCTTAAGTGTCTTCATCTTCTCACTCAGTCCTTTCAAATGTTCTTCTCGGTTTTCCATTTCTGTGTTTTACTGTGAAGTCGACATACAGTAATTTTCAACGAATAACGTTGAGTGAACAATTTTACTTATGTGTACTGCTTAGTCTGCCCTTAAATCAGGTATTGCAGTTAGTAATCAGTTGATTTTCTAACTCTCTTATAAATTCTTTCTAAGGTTCTTTACTCTTTCAAGGTTTCAGTTCACGCTGTCCTTCTCTTTCCCCTTGTTATTCTACTTTTCTCTCGTAATTATTTTTGTAGAGAACGATGTTTTGATACTTCAGGCTTATTTCGTAACATCGATGGATGTCTTTTTCTTTGTCATTAATACATCCATAAAATCCTGTTAAGGTCGATTTGTGTACCACTTCCCGTCCTACTACATGGTTTCTATAGGGCTTTCATCTTTGCTGTATTGTAGAGCCCCACGATGTCGTGGCTAAAAGTAGAAGCACACATGATTTAAAATCATAGCGGAGGTCGGGTAAAAGACGACGCATAGTTGCGTCCTCAGCTAGTTGTTTCAACTGACCGCACAGCAGACCGTTTGCCTCGACAGTATTCGCATTGACTGTGCTGTGAAGAGTGGGAAGAAAGGAAAACAATTTTCATAGAATGAAGATCCATGCGTTATCAGGCAATCATTGCAGACATTGTTCGATAACTGTAATTTTTTTATGGTGAGAAGCATCGCGAGACTAGAAAAAAGGCTTTCTGAGAAGAATCCCTCCCAACGGTTTAATGCCTCATCGTGGCTGGGTGGTGTTCCTGGGTGTCGGGGTGCAATGTACAGAAGGGTGATTCATCCTTGCATGGTCTTTCGTGCTGAGAATGAGTCCGGCGCTTTCATCAGGAAGCCTAGTTAAGAGTAAATCAATACCAGAATCGACCACCGTCCTGGTATCAAAGTCGCATGGTGGCAAATCTCTCTCTGATCCACAACGGCTGCGGCTGCCTGTAGTGGTGAAGACCTGGGGCAGACTTTGGCTATGCTATTCTCGGAATTCTAGGAAACCGCAATGGCTTAACCAGCAATTCTCGAAAAAATGGAGATTGTGCAAGGGCCCACGCAACCAGTGAGGACGGATCATTCAAGTATCAAATATAAGTGAGATGAATCATAACTCGTATGAAGTGCCGAGATATTTGCAAAACTCCGGACCACAGGTGTTTGCAGTGGGGAACGAACACGCGCTGCTCCCCGGTAAGGACAACAGCGCGTGTTCGTTCCCCACTGCATACACCTGTGGTCCGGAGTTTTGCAAATATCTCAGCACTTCATACGAGTTATATTTCACAACATACCCTGCCATTAAGAAGAAAAAGGCAGTAAATAAAAGAGTTAAGATTAAGATGAATCACTTTACAGCACTTATCATCTACCGAAAAGTGCTAGTTGCTTGATTTTTCGGCTTGTAGCGTCAACTTATTTCTAGTCGTTTTCGTTCCTATGTGTCCATCACTTCTAAGAGCAATGACTCGAATACTTAGTCTCACAACGAAATTTTACTTAAAATCATAGCTCAACCTGGTAAGTCACACTTACCAAAGGGTAATTGTAACTAAATGCTGCGTTTTCTCTGAACGGATGAGGATAAAGCAAAGGAGCGGTGATAGCGTCTTCTAGATTTTCTCCATAAAAACTATGTCTTAAGATTGTGTACAGCATCCTTGGGATTCCCATGCTAATCGAGCTGAGACCTCCATCGCCCGAATACGCTACGGTGATCTATAAAAGTGAAGTGTTACATCGAACAGATTTCATTTCGTACCACTTAAAGGAAATAACTCTTTTGGTAGACGGAATATATCTAAGGAGTGGGAAAATGTTTACAAAAGCGGTGATTGCAAGACATTTGAGTGTTATCTGTATGTGCCACTAACTTCACCCTGTTGCATCGGCACTTCGTGGCACCGACGTACTCGTAAGGCTAAAAAGATTCGTGAAAATCAACCATAAAATGAACATGACTATTGTTCTTTACTCGTAGTGATTCAGAATAACATGTACATCCGAAACAGGTCTATGCTGCGCAACTAACTACAGCGTACTAAAGCTTTTTTAGACACCGAATTTTACTCTATTCTTGTTGTCGTCAATTAAAATCTCAAGCGATCAAGCTGATTAAGACCAGCAGTAAGAACGTAGACATAGGCCGGCTTAACTGAGGAATCTTTACTATCCACTGAGAAAATCCCGTGCTAAACTTCTTCCACACATACTTTGCCGCAAAGTTCCTATCACCCATCTTACATAAGCTGGTATAACCGTTCGAATGCATTTCTCTTAGATCTTCATCATGAGAGCGTCATAGGATAAACTGCCACTCATCATTTGGTCACAAGGGTTCGAACATGACATTCTAATATTATATATATACATATTTATATATTCCTATGTGTCGGAGCGCTTTCGCGATGGGGAGAATGAGAACTGTTTATTTTACTGTGCTTTGCGTTTAACACTCACATATAGCTTGCTGAAATCTGAATGTGGGACTAGGTATACCTACGGATGGGTTGGTCGTCTCTGCCAGAGTAGCCGGGGAGCTCATCTGTTGCAAGCGACTTCTAAGCGTCTCTCGTATGCATCTCTCCCTCGAATTGACTCGTAGAATACAATCCGCATAAAGGAGAACACATCAACGCACTATGCATGAACACGCCTTCGTAAAAAAAAGTACGTGCTAAATCAGCACGGCAGAAACAAAGAATCCATACACTGGATCCATCTGCGTCTCAAGGAGACATAAGGTTGCTTTTATTCGGCGACTCACTCTCGTATTTTATTCAAGTAGGGAACCTCCACGATATTGGCAGCTATAGCCCAATTAATTTAATTCAACGAAACAACACCTTTGCCAAGGGATCATAATTTTTTGCCTGCTGTCAGTCTCTAAAAACTTTTCACTCGAGTCATCCTAAACAGGATTGACAGAACACTGGATGGAGGACAACCATGTGAGCAAGCAAGGTTTCGGAAAGTATTCAGTACAGTGAACTACATCCACACGATGACAAGAGTCATTGAAGTATCGTGAGAGTGCAAAAGACCACTCTGTCTCACTTTCATCGATGTAAAGAAGGCCTTTGATTCAACTGAGGTAGAAGCGATATGTATTCTTTCTTGATAAGCTTACACGAGGTTGATAAATATATTTATTTTCGGCTAACGTTTCGACGTCTTCGTCTTCCTCAGAGCCGGCGATCCGAGTCGATGGTCCATGCTTGTTGTTCGCCTCGACGTTGCGTCTTCGCCTTCCTGTCGAGCCAGATCTTCCTCAGCGAGCCATCTTCTCGAATGAGGCATCCTCACTCAGTGATGCCCTTTTATACACGATGCTGATGGTGGATATGTAATGACAATGTCCGGTGGTAACAACTTGTATTTCTTCCGGACATACATCACTGCGCACATCGTGCAGAGGTCGGTGTATTATCAGCTAGCACAAAGGTAGAAGCAGTCATGGAAGTTGGTAGTCAGGGAGCCACTACATAATCTGTTCTTTGTTCTTGATCTGTACAAAAATTTCACAACCAAGGTATCACCATTCTACAACGATATTAACATTAACTTTAAAAGAGGGGTTAGACGAGGCGATACCTCCTCGCCAAAATTATTTACCGCCACCCTCCAGAACTTCATGCGAACATTGGAGTGGGATAATATAGAAGTGAAAATCGATGGTCGGTAATTGTAACATCTTCGCTTTGTTGATGACACCGTCCTTAAAGCATCAAGCATTAGGTAGGTGGAATGAATGCTAGCCAATCTGTATAACACTTGTGGTCGCGGAATCCGAATGCGACCGATTAGAGATTGATGGCGAATGTGATGTAGACGTTCATTCGTGTGATTCGAGACAACGAGCAGTGGAGCTTTTGGAACAAAATCAACCACATTACAATATTTCGTGACGAGACCTTTTCTCTGAAAATGGTGAGGGCCCATTTATAAAATTGCCATATTCCGGTCCTCCTCTTCGTGACCGGCCGGCCACATGGAGCAGAGTGCTTCCAGGATTAGCGTCATAAGAGACCGTCATGACATTGCACATGCAAAATGAATAAGTTCTGACGTTGTCGTGAAGTGAACACGTTGAACTGACAGCCTGCTCAATGGTACCCTCATCTCGACTAAAGGTGGGTGAACTCTTGTTACATAGGTTTTCTTCTATTAGAGAGCCAAGGTAGCCACATCGTAGTGTCGCCACAACTAGTCGTCTGAGTTTGTCTATCGTAAAAGGATCGTTTTCCGTTCGGTTATGATTCCGTGAGAGTGATGAAATATGGGCTCTCATTTTAGCTCCAGTGAACGACCTTATTGATCAAAGTTGTGCTGCATACTGCAATTGAAAATCTAAAGATCTTTAGGTGGTAATTCATCGGGGTCTCCTTTCGCTGGTGATATTGTGAAATGTATTTCCTTCAAAATATTTGCTGCTGCATCGCGGCTAGTTAGCGTTCATTGGTGCTAAACTTCTATGGCATACACCAACAGGAATTCACACCAAGCAAGGTATAAGCTAAAGATATTTCTTCTCTAAAATCTGGACCCGGATAGAAGTAAACAAATGTCAGGAAACATAACGGTATCGGTAACGACTTAGGAAATGATCATTCTTTTCTTAAGGAATCGTTCAGAAACCTTTCTAGAAAAGTAATCCGTACCAAATTATTTTTCACAGCGATGAAGGGTGTGAAACTGTTAGTAAATCCTTTCTCAGCGTGGAAATGCTCCATAACCTTATTCATCAGGTTGTTCATGAAATGTACAGCATAAAGCGATCCGGATCTGCAAACGTCAATTACACTGAGGAAAAACCGCGTGAGTAGATAAACCTGTGAGGTAATTTTTTCACTATTTGCTTACGCAGATCCAATGCTTCCAACATAGGAGTAAGCCTCATCGTGGCGTGCCAACACGAAATGGTTAAATGCAAGGGGACGATCCTGAAAGAACTTGTGTGACGTTCACACCTTGAAAGCAGGAAATGGTTGCAATTCCTTACATTGTGGTCGCGACAAAAATTGCCATCGTCAATTTGTTGAAGATTTCAAAGCCTACCGAAAAGAATAATCGACACCACATGGTGTAGTATTTGGACTGACATTATCACATCGCACTGAAGTAGACATCCTGACTTGGGACGGAGTTACGGGATAAAGGATAAAGCGTACGCCAAGGTTACGCCATGCATTCCACTCCACTGAGTGCACATTAGAGAATAGAGTAACTCGCAAAGACCTAATATTCTACTAAATTAGGGTTATTTTTAAAGCTAACTATCTGACACCGGATTTCTATCTCCCGAAAGAAAGGGCACTTGGTTAAATTCCATGATTAAATGGTTGGCGGGCCATGGGGCGGGGGACGATTCCACGTGCGTGTTGCAGGGCGCCTCCGACCACTGTGCCACATGCGCTTTTTTTCAAACTGAATGATAACAAGCACGAAATCGTGTTTGCAGAAGAAGGTATTAATTCACAATTATTCTTTGACTGCATCACAATCACAGTTGTACAAACTGATGAATTTTTGCACGCAAGGGAAAAGTTTAGCACATTAAAGTGCGACGATGGCATATGCCACCGTAAACACTGCCAATAGAGAAATGTTAGTGTACACAAAGTATACCTCTTCGTCCACAAGCTTACTGTACGTAGCGAATTTTCGCCACTCTTCTGGGCTGGAATACGTGATTGTAGTCAATGTTTGGAAAAAATAAGAAAATTATTACACTCTTGCTTTGCAAAAGGTCTTAAACTAGAGAATTTTATACTACGCGCCCTAGGCCAATGACCCAGTGGTGGACGCAGTATGCATCATACAGCTTTGATTTCAGAGGCACAGTTTTTTTTTTGGCGACAGTCTGAAAGTGATGAGCAGTTGTGTATGTAGCAAAACCGAAGTACGAAACTACTTATTCCCATGTAAATCGTAGCAGCAGTGAAGACTTCATCAACAGCTTACCAATCGCAGCAGAAAGCAAAAACCAAGCTGTTTAGTACTATTTCGATTAATTAAAGCTATCTACAAGAATTACAGCTTCTATTAATCAGCGGGAATAATAGAATACAGTATGAAGGGTCCGAGACATAAATACTCACGCCTTGAATTTCGCAATATTTGATTTGAGCTCGAGCATCATACTTTTAAGCAAACGAGCTGATTGCTCATGCGAGAGTTTGTCGTTCTTCTTCATAACATTATAATCTGAAATCGGAAGTGCACTGGATTACTAGCCATTATTGCTGGAATGGGATACTTATTACCTGTTCTATTCAAGATAGCAAAAATTAATGGAGAAACGGAAGGTTCACCAGGAAAGCAGTAATTTTGGCCACGACCATCGGATACCATTCCTCCTTCGTTCCAATAATTATTTCCAACATCTTTTAACTGCGAAGAGTCGATGGCAAGCGGAGGAACTGAATTAGGTTTGGAAAACGCATTTAGATCAGTGGCTCCTCAATTACGGATTCAATTCGTTAGCAAGTTCTTACCACCACGAACGTGTTGAGCTTCAGTTCTCGATCTGATGTAAGCCTTGAAAGCAAGAAATATATTTCGTTCATCGGCAAAAATCTTCGTTGACTTGCAAAAATAATAGCCTTGAGGAGCATTGAACTAGTCAACGAAGACTTACCACACATTACAATGCGTAGGACAAAGAATAATGCATGAGCTACGACTGCTAGATGATGGAGTTTATGCGTGGACCGTAGACATTATGCGTATTTACAAGCTTTAGAGACCATAGGAGAACAGTACACATTTAGTTAGGAATCACAGAAGATGGGTATGTGACAATTCTATTCGATAGGATGGAGAACAGTGAGGCCAACTCAACGATGAGTGAAGTTTTTCATCATGAACAGTTCAAACATAGGTTATCGAAAATAAGGCTTTATTCTCTTGCATTGCAAATAGCTGCGCACCTCTAGCTTTGTTGAATTCCTAAAATCAAGTAGCGAAACGAAATGTCTCATGCGGTCCTCAAAATCAGGAAACGTCTCTATTTCTCCTTCCTTAAACAACAATATTGCATTCTGGTGCAAAACAACGCAGTATGCTAAGAGTAAAAAATAAGTAGTTCGTAAATGAATGAAGACCAAAAGCATTAGAACTATTCATCAACGTATAGCTTACTTCCTTCGCGGAAAACTGCTGCTGCCTCCAAAACATCATTTCTCTGGAAAACAATTACGGATAGAACAACCGCTCAGTATTTCTCTTCATATATATATACATATATATATATATACATAAATATGTACAAGGGGGCCTGTGGCGCAGTGGTCGGAGGCGCCCTGCAACACACACCCGAAATCGGTCCCGGCACCCATGGCTCACTAAGCCTTCTACCCCACCGAGGTCGGCAAATTGGTACTAGATTTGTCTGGGAGGATAGCAACACTGGCTCGATACATCGGCAGGCCACCGCGAGTCATTATAGAGGCCAGATATGCATTCAGTCACCTCCAAACGATACTTAATGAAGTGGAATGCATGGCGCATCTCTCAGGGATTGATCAGCGACCAGAGCTTTATCCATGTTTATCCTTTATAGACATATATATGCTCTTACGAACTACCTTCATCTAGCTGATGCGAGGTTCATTTACATGTTTTTATTGTTGTTATTGTCGTTGTTCAATGGACGACGTTTCGACGAATTCTCCTTCCTCAGAGTCTTGACGTGTCATGTGTAACAGTGGCCCCACAATTCGGTGAACACCAAAGTATTAATGAAGATCCGACATATGAATAGACGCCAGTTTGCGAAAACTACCTACTGTGCTGTTGTTGTTCACGGGGATGATGAGTGAGACCCACCCATGGGGATGTGGATCAAGAAATCATTCTGAGGTAATGTGTCATATAATGTGTTATAGTGAGGCATTCACCTTTTCGTTTCATCTTTGGACCTTCGAAATTCACCCAAAATGCCGCAGGAGTCTTGGGCGTGAATGTTTCATATTCCTGTGATAGGATCTTGACATCCAATTCAAAATCACCACCATTGTGATTTTGTGCCCTATGTGTACCTAGAGAAGTCGCTCGTAGAATTTTAGCTCTTCTATCTAGATGTTCTTTTTTGCGGAGGTAAAGTGGTCTACCCGTTTCCTCTATGTATTCCTCGCCATATGCCTTATATGAGGTCAAGTATATTGTATCTGAACTCATGCATGCCCTGTCCCTCCCGTTAGGGCAGATTACACAATTTTCCAGGCAGCACAAACGATCATAGAGGCCGTTTCGAACTAGCTGTCGGCGCAGCTATTGGGTGGGAGGTCAATAACCATCACATAACTTTCAGGACGACTTCTTCCAAGGCATCTCTTAAAGACATACCCTAATTCGTTCGATGTGAAGGGTATCTGGAGAAGAATCTTGTTCAGATTTGGAACATTATTGTGGGGATAACCCAAACTTTTGGTCTAACCCGAGTAGCTTCTTCTTCGTAACCACTGAAAATGGATGTTTTTCGTGCCAAGTTTAGCTATTCTTTCCTTTCCTCTTCTCCTATGCACACAATGTTAACTTCCTCTTCACTGACTATTACAACTTTTTACCGCAGGTACTACTAGATAGAAACTAGCTGAAAGAAAGGCAAAACGAAGAACTAGCGTGGTGTGGTGGCGAACGCGTTAGTCTCCGGAAAGGATAATAGCGTGTTCGATTTCCACCGCAGACACTTGGGGTTCGGAGTTTTGTTAATATCTCAGGACCATTGTGGTTGTATCACAGGTAATACCCGGCCGTGAAAAATTGTGATAGGCAGGAAAGAAGAAGTTAACATTGTGATTTCAATTGGAAAAAAAGTTCGGAGATCTATCACGTCTAAAAAGAACAAAACAAAGCACTAACGTTGGTAACGTTTTAAGTGATAACTCTGAGATAGAGTGCGCAAAGAAAAAGTGATGCACACTTAACGTGTGAGGAGGTATAGCGCTTCCGGAGGGTGCGCGTTCACTGTTAGAATTTGGTCCAAGATTTTCGCCTAGTCAAAGCATTTCTAAAACAATGTGCGCAGTATCACGTGCAGTCTACATGAATTTCAAGATTAACTGCGTTATAAGGTAAGGCTAGAAAGGTTAGGTAACAAAAGACAAAGAGGAGCATTACCATCAATGCCTTTTCTCCGAGTTTTCTACGGGCAAGGACATCGAAATACCGAAATCGACCCTGCTTCCCACTTCTTTTCGGACTAGGTTTTCCAAATACGTAATCATTATCAACACGGTAAATTAAGCTACATGTACAAAAAAGTGGTATGCACCAGATTAAAGAGCTTGTAAATTCGAAATCTATCCGACTATCTAATAGTGAAAGGTGGAGAATTTGTGGTTATTCTTCATTAACTGGATGTTAGAATAAGAGAGAAACACCTCAACGATGTTTCTTTCTGTCGATCATCCTCTTAAGAGGAATATAGAAATGAACACCGAAGGTTAAATATGGAGTGGGTCATTACGGCAAAGGCAGCGGACTTGAGCCTTCAGTTATTTCTCGGGTTAAGAACAACCATCCAACTTGTCCTGTCTCATACTTGCTTATTAAGACACCCCAAGCTTAATTCTACTGATCATCTTGCGTCCATGGAATCGTCATCATTCAAGGTTAGACCAATCATGAGCTGTATAGGCAGACGAACTGATAAAATAACATGGTTCCTTTGCCTTATCGTAACCTAGTTGCTAAAATTCATGCCAACCTATGAGCCCAATAACAAAACATTCGTAAACTACCTACGGTGCGAGCAACTAAACAGCACGTATGTGATGGAGTTATTCGATGTTACTTCACTTTATACCAATGTGTCATATGACTCCGCAATACAGGCCATTCTCGAGCTGCTCGTAGAGCATGGAAAGAAGGTAAAAATATACGGCTTACCCGACTAACAACTGTGGACTCTACTAAAACAGTTTATTAGTTGTTCAATTTTTAGGTGGTCGGAAAGATATTTTGCACAAATAAGAGGGTTATCCATGGGGCAGTGATTAGCACCAGGCGTTGCCATCGCTTTTATGTATAAGGTTGAAGCTCTAGTTCTCTGTCGCCAACTCTACTGTCCCCGTCGATATATAAACGACTGCTTGTCGTCTGCTCAACACAAGAACGGATGGACGAATGCTTTAAATTATTAAACGAACAGTCGGAGTATACAAAATTTTAGGCGAGACTAACCAACCGAGGAGTGGGTTCCATCCTTAAATATCCAAATAAAGCTTTTAGAAAGTGGCTGCAAAACAAAATATTTAGTCTACTTCGTGCCTTCATAAAAGAGCATCCAGATGAAAAGGCTAAAATTCGACAAAATACTCTTCTGTGTACACATAGGGCACAAAAGCACAATGGTGATTTTGAATTGGATGTCAAGATTCTAGCACAGGAATATAAAGCATTCACGCCCAAGACTACTGAGGCATTTTGGGTGAGTTTCAAAAATCCAAAGATGAACTGGAAAGACGAGTGCCTTACTATCAAACATGATATGGCACCTTAACTCAGAATGATTTTTTGATGGACATCCCCATGGGTGGATCTCACCCATAATCCCTCGTGAACAACACACAGGCGGTCCAACAGTATGGTAGGTAGTGTTCGCAAATTGGCGTCTATATTCATATGCTAGATCCTCATTAATAGCACGGAGTTCACCAGATTTTGGGGCCACTGTTACATATGATACGTCAAGGCTCTGAGGAAGGTGAACTCGTCGAAATGTCATTCATTGAACAATGATAACAACAGTAAGAAGATCTATACCAATTTCGCGTCAGCTAAATGAGTGCAGCTCGTAAGAACACATATATGTATGTATATATATATATATATATATATATGCATATATATATAAGGATTATTTGCACCAAGAAAATCTAGGATCACCGTGATTGGGGGCATAACAATACCTGAGAATGCGCGTTCGCTATTAGAACTGGGCCCAAGTTTTGCACCATCACAGCCCATTTCTAAAACGACCGTGCGTAGGATAGCATGCAACCTTTATGAGCTTCAAGATCGACTCCGCTATCAGGCCAAGCAAGAAACATCAAATAGAGATAAAAATCAAGAGGCGGCGACACTACCACCATCTCCTTTCCCTAAAACGTTTTTTAGACAGCAGGACCCTAACGATGGAGTTGATATTAAATTCCGCGTGTTTTCGGACGACGTTCTCAAGACCCTTGGTCACTACCGCGATAGAAAGTTTATCTCTAACCTTACAGCCGCACAAAAATGTGGGATGCGGGATCGCCCATCCTCTGAAAAGGAATATAAAAGTCAATACCGAAAACTAAACAATCAATGGGTCAGCGTGGCAAAGGCTGCGGGTTTAAAATCATCGGTTATTTCGCACTTTAAAATCGATAGACCAACATGTCCCGTCCTATTCCTACTTATTGAAACACATAAGTCGGTATCACCTGATGATCATGCGTCAACCAATCCGTCATCATTTAAGGTTAGACCGATCATCAGCTGTGTAGACGGGCCAACGGATAGAATAACCTGGTTTTTAAGCCTGATACTTACCCAGTTGCTTAACCACATTCCAGCTCACCTCACAAACACCCAAATGTTCCAAGAACGTCTACGTAACGCGTCTCCTAATAACGCGTACGTGATGGAGTCTTTCGACGTTACCGCACTGTACAGCAACGTATCGAATGACTCCGCAATGCAAGCCATCTTCGAACTTCTTGTTGAACATGAAGGAAGAATAAATATGCATGGCTTGTCCAACCAGCAGCTAATGGCTCTCTTAAAGGAGTGCCTAAACTGCTCGATTTTCAGATGGTCTGGGAAATATTTCGCGCAAATAAGGGGGTTGGCAATGGGAGAGCGATTAGCACCAAGCCTTGCCATTGTGTTCATGTCAAAGATAGAAGCTCCTGTTCTCGACCTCCGGCCATTACTCTACTCCAGATATGTAGATGATTGTTTTGTCTTCTTTTCTATGCAGGAGGAGATGGACAAATGCTTTGAATTATTGAACGAGCAGTCCGAGTACATAAAGTTCACCCGGGAGAAACCGAGAGAAACCTCGCTTCCGTTTTTGGACGTTCAAATATACCTATCAAGTAGCGGTTACCTGACAAAGTGGTATCGAAAGCCAAGTAACAAGAACATCCTTGTTCATTTCCTTTCTTCCCACCCTTCACACACAAAGAGGGCGATTGTGAGAAACATGTTTCGAACAGCCACCTCTGTGTGCACTACCAGGGAACTAAAGGAAGAATCGCGCTACTCGGCTCGGCAAATAGCCATCTCCAATGGCTACGAAATAGTAATCCCGCGAGATAAGTTTACAAACGTGCCCACGCGAAACATTTGGCCAAAAGAAAGTCCCGTTTATGTTGCCTTTTATAAGCGATGAAGTAAGCGTAGCTATAAAACGATGCTTAAGAGGGCAGGTCTAGAGGAATCGGTAGCGATAGTTGAAATACCACCGGCTACTCTACGTCGCCAATTAGTTCGCAACCGCCTGTATGACCGTCTGTGTGAAACAACAATTTCGTAATATGTCCTTACGGCAGGGACGGTGATTGCATGAGTTCAGGTACGATATACCTGATCTCTTGTAACAATTGCGGAGATGAATATATTGGCGAAACGGGCAGACCTTTGTGTATCCGTATAAAAGAACACCTAGATGGCAAACGAAAACTAAGACGAATTACCCCACTAGATACGCATAGGATACAAAAGCATAGCGGAGACGATTTTGAAGTAAAAGTCAATATCCTTGCACAGGAGTCCAAAACACTAGCGCAAAAACTCCTTGAGGCTTTTTGGATCAATGCCGAGAACCCTACAACGAATAGCAGGGATGAATGTACGGAGGTCATACGCGACCTGATCCGGTATGTTCGCTTCGATTTTTGATGTGGGATGGTGCAGTCGTCAACCACATGCGACTATAATCAGCTGTTCTAAACTTCCTCATTGGAAGTCACGAAAAAGCGGTGGGTTTTTCGAGAAGTTGTTGATCATGTAATTACCAAAGAGTCTTTCGTCTTTTTGTAAGTGTTATTGAAGCGTTTGGCCTGGTAGATTGTATATCAGTATACCCTTCCAGGCTCCAGGCCCAGGAAGAAGGCGATACTGCCGAAACGTCAGCTACTGTTGTATTGTATTGTGTTTCTCAATGGAAGTATGCTGTTTGAAAACCTCGCGATTGCTGAACAAGAAAACGACGCATTCATATTCCAATGCCGAGTTTAATAGAGGGTCGATCCTGGGAACTATTATAAGGGTTATTATTCCAAAGTTTATAGAAATCGGCTTTTGAGCTGTTTCTCTTTTTCACCATTAACAAGTACAATTAAATGGTTTAGAGCCCTACAAACACTAAGCACTGATCTTAACCTTTTTATTTACTGCCCATTCTTTTTAACGGTAGGGTACGTTGCGAAATATAACTTCTATAATGCTGAGATATCTGCAAAACTCCGGACCGCAGGTGTTTGCGGTGGAGAACGAACGCGGCATTGTCCTTTTCGGGAAGTAATGCGTTCACCACCACACCATACTGGTCCTTTGTTTCGACTGTCTCTCAGTTAGTTCTATCGAACACGGCCATCGGCAATCACCCGTCAACGGGATTGATCTGGGGAGCCCAAATCGGCATTGAACCCAGTTTTGCAAATATCTTAGCATTATAGAAGTTATATTTCGTAACATACCCTGCCGTTAAAAAGAATAGGCAGTAAATAAAAAGGTTAAGATTGTGATTATAACTATAGCTAGCCTCAGCCGATTTGGGCTCCCCATATCAATTCCCTTGACGGGTGGTTGCTGATGGTAAAAGATCGATAGAACTAGCTGAGAGACAGGCGAAACGATGGGCCTGCATGGGGTGGTGGTGGACTCTTTACTCCCCGGAAAGGACAATAGCATGTTCGTTCCCCACTGCAACTAAGCACTGAATTTGCTTGGTGGATAGCGTGATCGGAATTATGGCTTGTTTCCGACTGAGTCACGACACCTTATGGCCGCTAACGCTGTCTCCTGTGGACGACAACATCAATTATAACATTACGAGCTGATTTCTGCGCCAATGTACTACCACTTCTCTTTTTGTAACAAAGGATCTGAAAACGATTCAGGCCATAATATATGGGTTCGTCCTCCTCCTCTTTGTGCAATTGGAGGGACTCATTATTAGCGAAGGAATCATTTGGAAAAATCATTTGCAAAAATTTTGCAGACAACAACTTTCACAGCATGAATTGTATAAATAACTTCAAATTTTTCTTTTTTTGAAAAACGGCAACAACCTCTGCGAGATGGAGAGCTTTTAATTCAACGAAACAACACCTTTGCCAAGGGGTCATAATTTTTGGGCTGTATCTAGGAATTACCACCCATTTGACTTCGTCAAGCATCCTAGAGGTGATTGAACTCGTATTTAACCCGTACAATGGCTTGCGGTAGGCTGCCCGATTCCGTCAGTCATATTGTCAGTCAAGACTTGTACCAATTTCCTGACCCTTGAGAGATGGAAGGCGTCATTCCACTACCGGAACAAAAAATACCAGTTCTTTATGCTGATTTTTCCACCAACCGCTCATTGCTCTACAGTAATAAACTTTCCTTCAACGTCTGTACACTAGGTGCAAAGGTGATTATCAGCTAAACGATGAGTTGAAAAGCGGATTGGATTGTGTCGTTCCGTACAAACAGATATGGATACAGTCGACACAACTCACTCTGTAACGAGTGGCCCAAGCTCAAGCGACTCCAAGGTATTGATAGCCGGTGAGATCCACTTGTTCCCGTGCTCTGCTTTCATTAACAACGCTATTTGTTCTAGTTCTTCGTGTGTCGCATTTTCGAGAAGGCCGAGCGTCGTCACCAAATCGAGAGGGAATAGTTCGGAATAGCGCCCTTAACAACGAATTTAACAAACCTTCAACTGCTCGTAACCGTTCCTACCTCGTCCTTGCTTCAACATTTTTTTGTTGACTCCAGCAACAAACTCTCCTATTAAGCTGGCGTTGAGTGGAGCCCTTGACTCTCCTCTTGTATAACGACAACCCTTTGAGCTGAAATGGTGAACATGTCGAAGGATCGTTCTTCGAATTTGTTGCTCCCCAAAGCTCAATTCAACGAGGCTGATAAAGGAGCTATTATATATGGTGAGCCCAGCACTTTCGCTTTTCTAGGTAACGTGGAATAGGCGACGCTTCTTCGAAATAAGCTTGCTGACGCCACCCCAAAAGCCGCGATTTTTTACAGTGACGTACAGGAGTAAAAGTCGTATAGAATGTCTATGGATAGCAAGAAGGTCAGATCTAGATGCGGGCTTTACAGCTGTTTAAATAAACTTGTCAAACCTAAGCCGCCCGACATTTGTGGTCTACCGTCCACGCTGGCTTGCCTCAGTTATAGAAAAGGTGTAACGTTACCTCATTATGCTCTCATACAACTCTCACTCACACCTGAATGCAAGAATCAGATCGTCTGTATGATCCAATTTTTCTTTGACTGGAGCGAGAGATAGAGAAACTATACGAACTGCTAGAGTTTGCATGACATATAAATAAATATGTATATATATATATATATATATATGTACATACACAGATAAATAAGTGCGTACTGGCTATTTCTTCACGTGTATCTCTCTACTTTTTATACGCTCTGCTGTTTTATGGCAAGTGGAGGGCTTAGTTCCAACAACATAACACCTAGCAGCCGATGTGCATCTACTCATCACTGAACTTCCTGTTGGGAACGCAAATCTCCTAAGTTTATTTCTTTATATTGTCAGTCGTGTATAGCGCACACTTGCGGTAATATGTTTACCAGGCAATAATATGGAACGCTAAGCGATGGAAATGTGCATCCCTCACCTACTCTGCGTTCTTTTCTAAAGTAACCAAGTTTGTTAAGGCCCTCTCACCTATAGTGCAAAGCAACGGAGCTTCCGAGTTCGCCGGACCGATCGGGTTGCTGCATATTAAGGCAGTACTGTAGCGTGCCTGCTATTAAGTCGAAGCGATATTCTTCCAAGTACATGGTCCTCAAAAATGCTTTTATTTAATAATTACCCCAAAATTTTTAAACAGTCGAACAACTTTTTGTTTCTGCTATAACTTTCGAGCCTTAGAAAATTATAAGAATATAGGAATGAAAGAATCGGTCATGTAATCAACAATCTTTGCTGAAGAAGGTGCTCCCTTCAAGGCTCTGAGCAGTCCGCACCTGCTACTCTGTCCCACCCTGCCATCTACTCTGAACACTACGATGGTTGCTGTGGCAAAAAGATCGATAGAAATAGCTGAGAGACGTGCGAAACAAAGGACCCGCATGGTGTGGTGGTGAACGCGTTACTCCCCGGAAAGGATAATAGCGCGTTCGTTCCCCACCATAGACACCTGCGGTCCAGAGTTTTGCAAATATCTCAGCAACGTTGTGGTTGTATTTCGCCTTAGTAACCTGCCATGAAAATTATAGAAGGCAGAAAACAAAAACGTTAAACTACGATGATTGTCAAGTTTGTGGGCATGAGAAGAATGATCATTGAGAAAACGAACACATTCAACGTATACTAGGTCACTCTACAGTAAAGTGGTTTACATCATTACACCAAAGGCGAATGAAAAAACAAAACTAGCCTTATTTCTAGGCTATAAAAGTTTTCATCTTCAATGTGATTGATTACTTTCCTATTCTAAGTCTAGAAAAAACAGCGGCTTATGCAAGTGTGATGATTCCGCTGCCTCACAACTATGCGAATTTCGCTTGATAGTGGATGGGAACTGATGAGAACCAGTGCAGCATTTAGAGTTAGAAGCGATGCAAGAAACACCAACCTTGCCAGTTCACTACAAAGTTCCGACGATGATGAGACGGCAAATTCATCGAAGAGAGCGACGCCAGGAGGATCCTCGCAATCCCACACAATTGTCTGGAGTATGAGAAACGTTGTCTGCGTCGTTGAGCTCAAATGAGAGACATATCACCACACACTTCTCTCATAACCTTCTTCACCGCAATCACGTACAACGTCGATATCATGCCAAATACGACAATCAGTTCAATGAAAATGATCACTTTCATAAGTACCCGAATATCTCTGAAATGTATCTGTCATTTAACGTTACTAATTCTGAAGGTTGCAAATTTAAAGCTTCCAGTTTATTTGCATACTTCAACACAGAAGGAACCATTAGTCTGTAGCTATGCACACCTTGAAACAAAAGTGTAAGCCACGATAGCGTGATGAATTATAAGTACAATAGTGTATTAAGACAAGTGAAAATAAAGGCTGAGTTGCGACAACAGCGTGACGTCGAGCTATTCACTAGACTTTTCTTTTTAGCTGCTAACATCCATGAGAAATAGTGTAGGCCATCTTCATTATAACGAATAGGTTTTATAGGACAGAACTCTTACCTTTTAAAACCCCTGTTACTCTTGGTGACCCTTGTAGTAGCAGTGCTAGTAGGCTTCGGATAATCGGACGCCTCCAATGCTCCATCGCTCTAGAAAGCTCTTGTGAACGAAATAAGCGTAAGCTCATGCTGGGAGTATCCCTTTTCACACAAGTAATGGATGGGATCCGAAGCTCCGATCTGCGTCAACGATCAAAGACCAAAGATGCCGTTCCGTACGCCAAACAGTCGAAGATAAGGTGGGCCGGACACGTAATGCGTACGAGTGAAAACCGATGGACGAGAGCCGTTAGTGACTAGATTCCCCGGGATGTCAAACGTACTGCAGAAAGACCACCGACGCGATGGTTAGAGTTCTTCACAAAGAGCCTTGAAGAAAGATATGATGCTCGACGAGTCCCTAGACCGAGCGGAACCCACTGGGCTACTCCTGCAAGCGACAGGGAAAAATGAAAGATTTACTGGCACCGGCTCGAGTCACTCGACGATAAACGGGACTACAGGTGATACAGGTGATAGTAGAAAAGATACGGGGCCGAATAAGCGCGGGGTGCGAGACCAAATTAGCGATTGAGCCAGCTTGTACTGAAGAAGACCCCTAAGTGAGTTGCACGCCCCTCATTTGTTACTCGGTGAAATAATGTTCCGAAACTGTATATAGTCAAGTAAATTCAATGCTTAGTTGCGGTGGGGACGAACGCACTATTGGCCTTTCCGGGAGGTAACGCTCTCACCACAACACTATGCGAGTCCTTCGTTTCGCCTGTCTCTCACCTAATTCTGTCGATCAGTGCCATCAGCATTAGTGAGAGTGATCTAGGGAGCCTAAATCGGCAATGAACCCAATTAAGCTAAGGCACTGTTCACTATCAAAATTTTAGTTTATTATTTACTATTTACTGCCTACATGGTGGAGTGGTAAACGCGTTAGCTTTCCGAAAGGGTAATAGGGCGTTCGTTCCTACTGCAGGCACCTGCGGTGAGGAGTTTTGCAGATATCTCAGCATCGTTAAAGTTATACTTCTAAAGTATTTAGACCTGGCCATTAAGAAGTTACCAACAACATTTTCTCGCGCTTAGAATAATTGTGGCGACGAAAGGAGCAGTAACGATTGAAAGAATTCCTTTTTGAGATGAATAAAAACTCAGACGTTCAGACATTTATGTGTTCATACGGTTTCGTTAACTTTCCGTAAGGGTCTTTCTTCTTCGTACGAGCCTTTAGCTCTCGCAAATATCCGCTGTCGTGAAATCTAATCAATGAATCGAATTCACAGGCAAGTACATGTTTTATGGTGAATCATCTATTTCATAAAAAATGCGACTTCAGGCTGAATTTTTGTTAGCTAATGAGCCTGAATAGTGACGGATAGGTTGGTGGAGCTAGATTTCCAGACGCAAGTACAACCACTGTGCTATGAAAGCAGCTAAGTCAAACTTTTTGACCACGAGGAAAGAACGATGGCATTAACATAGACCTGGAATCTCTAAGAAATAAGAATTAAACAAAGATTCTTGTTTTAAAATGAGCGCTTTTCACTGAAGTGAAGGGCCTGGAGAAGAAACACGATTTTCTCAAGTTTTGGCTTTTTTCCACCTATAGGTGTTTGATGGAAATGTAGTGTTCAGGATTGTATTGAAGTATCGAAATCTGTTAAGAGAAGAAAAATATGAAGCTTTTGGTGCATTTGTGTTACTTTTAAGTCTAAATAGTTAAAATTAATCCTTACCTTCTGTTTCCTAGTGTAGACTGGCTCGTCTGAAAGTAGACACTGTCAGTCATATTGACGTAATCTCTATGGACTTACACCAAACGGTCTTCGGCTGCTGTTTGCATCTTTCGAATCTTCTAAAGGCTGCTTCAACTAAACAACGTGCGTCACAATGTTCCATTTGAGGAGGTGCGCCAACATTTCAGTGTTCAGAGAAATCACAACACCACTTCCCCATGAGCTCTTAGTTCCATCAATGGCGTGTCATTTTGGATTCACTGTCGGTCACATTCATTTACCATGCACTAGCACATATTATTTATTATCCACTTACATCATTCGTCAGTTGTCGGTTTTTTTCGTCTTTCAAGTGCTTTATTTCCACTACCAATGTTCAATTTGCGAAGGGAAGGTTTGGTTTGTCGTCAATCATTCCGTGAAGATATGTCAAGGTGTCCACTGTGAGCTGTCAACGATTCGGTGAAGCCTGTTCTTCGATCAGACTGTGGCAGTGAAAAGCAACATCAAAGGTTTGCGAACGGATGCGAGCTTTATCAACAGCGAATTCACCTTTGATAAATCGAGATCGGGTAAAGCAGAACAATAGTGTCGAGACTCACACCCTTATTGAAAAACGGAAAAAGATTGCTGTAGATTGTAAAATTGCACCATTACTCTTTAAAAAAGTTTTAGAACCGCTCATCTGCTTATCTTATGTTTAAACAGTCAACTGAATATTAAAGGCGTTCGTCACTACATCACACGGGTTCATCCCAAACTGCATGGTAAGACAGCGCCAATTAGAAACAAACAAAGTGATGGTGAGTTTAGACCCTACCGGAATTGCTAGTATCTGCTGCCGAAATCTACCTCATCAGTGAAGTTGGGCTAAACATAGTGGTGGAAGCAGAATGAGCGAGGTCTTGAAATAATAAAAGAAAAATGAAGATCAGAAAGCAAGTCAAATCTAGTATATTGGCTTGACGACGAAAAAACCAAGTGATCGAAAAATGTTACCGCGGCTTTTTAAGCCTCATTTAAGACTGAAGCAACAACTTGACTAACAATAAAAGAAATTATGTCATTTTATTTTATTTCATCCGTTTTCATATCTGTTGTGCGGATCCCAGCACTTCTCACATTCGATACGCTTGATCTCATCCATTGTCCACGAAGATCTTCCAACTGTACGTGTGGCTTCAGTTGCTGAGTGAGGGTTTTCATTTGTTCTTGAATGTCGTAAAATGGTGATCGAGCAATTCTCTCTGGAGTCCTGAGATGGCAGGGCTACAGCGGAGTTCAGCGGCGTCTTGAAGGCCTATTATCTTCGGCACTCCATAACAAGTTGTCTGCTTGCATAATACAGTTGTCTTTGGGACCTCGAGATGTTTTAGGGCATTTCCATCACTTCACTGTATGGAAACTCACCGACTTTATGGATCAGATCTTTGCCGAACTACGACTGTGATATTATAAAACTGCAGTTATTCCAGCGCATAGTTGATCGACCAAAACTATCTAGCACGCAGAATTCTGCTAAACAAATGAAAGCACGAATCGTTGTTATCTATGTCGTTAAATAGCACCGAATTCGATTTAACTATTGGATCGTTTACATCTTCCAAAATTTAGAGATCAGATAACTCTTCTGCGTGACTTATAAGTGGATAAAGAGCGCTCATAGGTTTTGGATCAGAACCGTTAATTTAAATGGTATGAGCTTCAATAGAGATGAACATACCGCAGCTGTATGACGTTTCATCTGTGGAAGAACGCTAGACTCACCGGTGTTTGTCATGTCGGACAGCCGAATGTATGATGATCACATCTATCCATCAATGATGGTTATCAAAACACCTTTTTCAGCAGGAGAGCAATATAATGATATCACCTAGTTTTCGCTATTTATCTAACACTTAGAAATATACTCTGCTTCCCACTACATTGAGCGTCGTAGAGGTAATCCGATGTATCAAGCCGGTGTTTCCCATGCTGCTCTCCCTATTCTCCCATATTGTTTTAATAACAATTCGCTGTACGGGAAGTTGGAGAGTTACTTTCCGGCGTGCTGGATCGAATCCGTGGACATCGTGTGTCTTGTGGGAAAACACTCTGCACAGGTAAGTGACACACGATGGTTGACTAGTGTGTCATGCCAGAGCTAATATCTCTGTGCAATAACGAGGCTTCTACGAATTCATATTTAGAATTGGTGTGAAATCTCATTTATTTCATTTCTGGTATGCTGTATCCGACTTTTTAAAGTTTGATGAATGGTCGAGCGATTCTGCTTGAAACATAGAAAGCTAAGCAAATAATGAGATCTCTAGCGTTCTTAAGCCTGAGGCTGAAGGTACTTACTCAGAACTCGCTAAAGAGAAATATCGAGATACGGAAAATAAGATGGCACCCACATGAGGATTTTCGTCTATGCAAGAAGTATCGTGTACTGATTCACGTTGATACTTCGTGGCATTACTTATTGAGTTAACTGACCTCGTTAGAACACCTCTTTGTCACTCGCTATCGCCGCCATCTACTATCATTGTTCGCGAAGTAATCGTGGAGGAATCCACGGCCCCGGAAAGAACGGACTTATGTGACGATAAATTTATCTTCCCTCAAGACATTAGTATACCTTGAAACACTTTAGGATTCGCTTAAATGGCTCAGTCGCACTTACAACAATGTTCATTGATTCCTCATCCTGTATTGAACTTTCAGTGGGCTGCCAAATTTTTTAACACCTGCTTCAGAAAGACAAAACGGCTTTGTGTGTATGATGGGTTCGCATCTCCGCTAGGCTGAGCTCGGGACACCAGGGAACTATCTTCGTTAGGCTGAGCTCGGGACACCAGGGAACTATCTTCGTTAGGCTGAGCTCGGGACACCAGGGAACTATAATGTCTAAACCAACGAAACTGCGAAAAATGGAGATTGTGCTGGGACCTGCACAACTAGTGACGGCG